ATTTTGAATATTATCTTTTTTTATCCATTCTTCAATAATAAATGTGTTTTCTTTCAATGAGCATATCTTATTTTGTAGTTTCCTCTGTAATTTTTATAATATCACACAATAATTCTGCATGTTTTAAATGAATTATTTCTCTAAAATTTTAAATTAGAAACTATCTACCATGAATATACTCACCAATTCAGTACAAAGCCTTCTGGGATTGTGGGCAAATTAAACTAAAATATTTTGCATCATTCATTTGACCTTTGACATTGTTGTCAATCTTAAGCAGATGTAAATCGTTTATCCAGTAAACTACATGACTATATTCAGGCCTAACCATTTTGTAAATCCAGGCACATCTGGTGACCCCCTCTCATTCCAGGCTGGTAAGCATTAGGATTTTCTCCTACAAAAGAGGTTCTTGTTCTCTTAGAACAAATATTTTAACCAACATTTACTGTATACAGGGTTATTTTCGTCCTGCTTTATTTTCGCACTTTTGATCTTGCAAACAATTTGCCCTGTTTAAAATTCGCCCAGTCAAACTTTTTTTTTAAAAGAAATTATACTATATTCTTTGAATTTGCCCCATTTTAAATTCGCCCAACCAAGGTAAGGGCAAAAGGGGCGAAAATAAAATGGGGGTGAAATTTCTTCTATAAACATGTATAGTATTATATAATTATAATTTTAATTCAAATATTTTCATAACTGGTGAAAATTGATTCTAAAATGTAATTTTTTCATAATTAACCTAGATATTGCTTTAAAAAATTGAAAATGTTGAGCCTGCCAAAACATTATTCATCTTGGACACATTCATAAATTTCTAATCTGATATTTGAATTTCTCTGAATATTTTGTATGTAACCATAACTTTTTTTCAAATGACTTTCAACAGGTAAAAAAGTTGTTGTTTTTTTTTTTTTTCAAGAAATAACACAGTGTATATACCTGTGGGGACTGGTTCTATGGGGGTCCATTTTGGTTTATAGTCTTGGTCACAAATATACTGATCAAATAGTCCCTCTGCAACAGAAAAGAAAAACAAAGACATAAGTTCCTTTATTCTTTTTTCTTCAACATCATTCTAAGCTTTGTTCATTAATGAATAAAGATAAGTTAATTTTTTACACCCTAATAATTTTTCAAAGTAAGTGCATATTTGGTTACTTTAAAATAACTTGCAACAAAAACAAACCTTCTGCTGCCTGCCACAGTAAATCCTCACTCTTTTCAAAATCACCATGTTTAACCTGAAAACAACAAATCAATCCATGGATTCTATATACATTCAAATTTCAAACCAACTGTCAATTTAAATGCAGTTTATTTACAAATCCATCCAAAGATTTTTTTCTACAGAAAAACTACCATTTTTAGTTTGAAAATTTGTATGCTGTAGTAAAGTAAACTATGATTATGGCAAACACAACAATAATGTACTGACACTTACAGCAGTGATTTTCATTCCGCCAGACTTTATTATGTATTGTAAACTTGACAGATATATATATATTGTAAACCAAATATTACTTACGTCATCTTTTATTAACGATTCATTAGTTTAAAATCAATCTGCAACGACCAATTTTCACAAATGAGGAAATTAACACTCTCTACGAATACTAACAAAATGATTGGTTCGTGCAAAAAATATTCATGATATAGAGTAGATCGCAAAACTCATGAATATTACTTGCATGCGAATAAAAGTTGATTTACAGTAAAGAATTATTCTTATAACAATACAAAATGGTTTGTCCTGGGCACTTCACTTAAAGTATGTTTTAGTGTAGTTATATAAAGAGTGATAAATGGAATCCTACCAGCATGGAATGGAGCTCGGTGAGTATGGGATGCTCCAGAGAGACTTTGGTTTTCTTCTGGAGTGCCTCGTAAGCCTCTGTATACTGTCTCTGTCTGAAGTGCTTCAAGCACAACCTAATGGCCTCCTTCTCTCTAAACTATTTATAGAAGTGACAGAAAATGATAAAATAAGTTACATTGATCTGTAAATAAGTTGAATAAATAGTACATAGAAATATCTCTAACAACCTTTTCTCTCTTCCCAAATAATAAAAAATCTTTTCAATGAAACAAATTAACAATAAATGTGTACAGTTATTATGTATGTTAAAAGAAATTTGATCAAATAGCAGGCATGTAGTGCCTGTATATGTCATTCTTCATTAGAGCATGGTAGAAAATGAAATATATACCAAATCATGATAATCATTGTTTCCTCAATGTAAAGATGTAATGACAAACATATTTCAATATAGTTTGACACTTACTGTGACCAGCCATTGCAGGCATGGTTGAACAACATCCCAGTCACTTTCTCCTTGAAGTTTCACATACCAGATACTAAAATTAAAACAGGAAGGGCCCCATGCCTGAAGGGGAACTGTGAAAAAGAAACATAGGCAATATAAAATAGAGAAAAGCCGTGTGAAACAAATAATAATGCACTACATTTGACATGTTTTTTAAGCACATTGTGTATTTGTCTCAATCAAAAAAGAAATTCAACATCTTTCATTTTAAAATTATAAAGTCTCAGTTGTACAATCTTTACTTGTATCTTGTACACATATTCTTAAACATATTAAAACTTTTTTTGGATGAATTCAAAAGACAAAAATATCTCGGGCAAGTGATTATCCCAATGATGCTTCAAAGCACATGTACCAAGAATTCTAACAAAATCAGAATATATCATATTAAATTACATGTATATACAAAAATAAAATACCAATATACATACCAATCTTAATATATCTACATGGAAAGACATTTTCATGCAATTCCTTCTTAAGGGGAAAAGTTTCTGGAACATGATCATTCTTCAAACCACTACAATAAAGAGTTATAAATATAAGCATTAAAAAATATTTTTTCATCAGCCAAGCCTTAACAAAATTACAGTGCTTCAATGTGCATAGCTGCAACAACAAAAAGAAAAGCTTCATTAAAAATTGTTTTTACAACATATGAAGTATACTTTATGCATGGAAAATAATATTCTGTGCTAGTATTGGAAACATTATTATGGGTGAAGAAACATTTAAGCTTAAAAATTTTTTGCTGAGTACACTTTTATTTATTTTTTTCTTTTTTTGAATTTTAAAATAGTATAAGTACACATGGATTTAAATATCATACCCTTCTAGTAACTCTATCATATGTTCATCATTCAGACCTCCAAACACTTTAAAGCTTTTTCAGATTACAGACATGGGCCTTCTTCATACTTCCCAAAGTAATACACTCAGCAATCTGGTTTTCAAGCTTTAGCATTAGGAAGCTCAAAATAAATGGTCAGTAATATACTTATATATTTATGACAGAGAAGTCTAGGGTGGAAATCACATCAGCTAAATTTGCTACTATTTTTTCCCCTCTATCTAGATAGATGAAATTAAACAACTGTATAACAAATGTATAAAAGTATAAAGTACACTATTGAAATTTTCAGAGGAAGTATTTTTTTTCTAACATATATTTTTATTTAACCAATGTTAATTCAAGTGCATTTTCTGTTTCATCAATATCAAAATCCTACAATACAAAAAGTGCCATTTTGACTTTTCCCAAGTGCCGTTTTCACCAAGTGCCATTTTAACTTGTACCCAATGTTGTGTTGTGAAGGCATATCAACACCAGGATATGAGAGTTTGTTTGATTAATGTGGCACATGTATATATTTTTTTTTAAATTTTTAGTGCAGAATAATTTATATCTCCAGAATCACCACCAGACTTATTCACTCTAACGTGCTGCTTTATGACTGACGGAATGTGCTCTAACTATGGGGAATGTCTGTTCAAAGATTTTAGGCCTCTATAACAAAAAATCCCCCCTTTCTGTGTCTGTACCTGAGGTGGGTGGTTGGAGTCTGAGGACCACCGTGAAGACTGGTCCTTTGGATTATCACTGTATATGTTTCTAAAAACAAAAAATAACATGTTTATTTAAACATTTTAAATGCGGATCTGCAGGAGATCAGAAGTAACACAAATGTTGTTGTTAGAGTCGACTTCATTTTCACCAAAAAATAGTAAGAAAATAAATTAAAATTAAAAATATTTGGTAAAAATTTATAAAGTAAATTGTTTTCTTACTCTGGAACATAGTTGTATGAAAAACTGGACCATTTACTGATAGAATACTTCAATATATCCTTTTCTTCGCATTTATCTGCCATTCTGATCTTGTTTGTGTATCTTCAAATTTTAGACTATCGAACCCGACGAAAATCCCGAGAGTTTAAAAAAAAATGAATTTCGAATTCGAAAAGATTTTAGATGTTAAAAAATGTGGAAAATCACCGTTGCAATATATCATTGAGGATTATTAATTTTTGATACGTCTAATAAATATTTACCGAGAATCTTCATAAAATAGACATCCCGGAAAAAAATCAATTGCAAGTTTTGCTTTCGAGTTTTTTGTGCTGCAGAATATTTCCAGTTTAAAGGGGTTACACCGGCTGCAGAAGATCCTTCACCAAAAACGTCCTAGAAAATGTTAAAATTACACAGTCTGAAATATTGTGTTGGGAATAGCCACTTCAGACTTTTACAGGTAATTGTATTTTACTAAGCTCCGTATAATGCCTTATTGAATTTTTTTCCATAACGTTATTCAAAGCAGAGACATAAATAACTTATTTATGTCTCTGATTCAAACATAGATACATAGTTTGTTGCACTTTAAGTTCAACAGATCAAGTTGATCTAGATGATGCCATTTTGTTTTTCAGCCTCTGACATCTTCAGTAGACAATGCTTTCAAAAGTTACAGGTAGAGTAATAAATCCTATTTGCAATTTCTTTATTACAGGCATAGCAACTTCAAAGTTTACTGATTACTTTTCACCATGTTAAAGCTGAACACGAATCGTAAATAGGCATACACCTTTTCCCAAATCATTGTCTACAACACACCAACACCAGGGTATACCCTTCACTTTCGTTACACCTGACTGCTTTATTGTCGGGGGTATGGGTGTGAAATGGTGCCCGGGGGTTTTCGTGCTGGTTATTTTTGCCTTGCCTTTGTTTGCATTTTATTGCAGTTACATGTATCTGTTTTTGTTTGTATACTAGACTGACCTGCAAAATGATCTGTCTGTCTAGTAGTGTCTGCACAGGTGTTGACTGATTACTATGAACAGTGTCTAAGCCAAGTCCTATATATACGGGTTTTTAGATATAGACACATTCCTTTAATGAACAGTGTTCAGTTTTAATTTTACTTTTGAAACACAAATAATTTCACATTGCCAAGTGCAGAAATTTATTTGAATTTAGATATGTGTTAGTGACTAAGTGTATATTGCTTGAATTAGGATGTTGCAAAATTTCAATGTCAAAACATGTCAATTAAAGAATTACATTTTCATTATAGTCTTTTCCTCTGCAGTTAAATGAAGAATTTTTGGTTATAAAATGGAAATAATAAACTTTTTTTGCATTGGAAATGGTTCTTTTTGTTAGTACCAGTTATAAATATATAATGGGAAATATGCTTAAAAGAGACCCTTAGCAAAGTTATATGATAATGTCATAATTTCAATGTCATTAAAAAAATATTTTAACGCTTTGCTTTGGGACAAAAGGATTTTCTCACAGAAGCATTCTACCCACTGACCACTTTCAGGCCAGTCTTCCAAGACTTCCACCCCCCAATTAAAAAAGGATACCTTACACAAATACCTCGAGTGTCAACGGCAAATACTGACTGATGATGAATATGATCAAACAGCTGACATTGTGAACAATTTTAAAGCCAATGAAGGTCCAGGTACATGAAATAATATTTTTGTGAAAAAGAGTTATTTTATTAGTTTAACTCTAGGAATCTTACAGTCCCTGAAACGTTCTATTTTCCCATTTTTCCGTTCGCTCACCATTCGTTCACCATTCGTTCAGCTTGCATTCACCGTTCGCTCTCCGTTCACAGTTTCGCGTTCACCGTTCACAAAACGTTCACCGTTTGCTCTTCGTTCCGTTTACTTTGCGTTCACTTTGCGTTCACTGTTCACTTATCGTTCAGTCTTTATTGTCATTCGGAACTCCGAAGTGAAAGGACTTATCTTTTTGATGGTAAGGATTTACACATTTTTTAATTAAATAACTAAGATATCGTGTTTGAAGAATAATTATTTCAATGCAAAAAAGTATCTAAGATATTTATATTTCTATTATTATAACTGAGCTGTTACTTTAACCATAAACTTTCCCTGGAAAATAATACATTAAGAACCTACATGTAAGTAGAACGATGCTAAAATATTAAATTTAAATAAGGACAATGTACAAATACTTCAAGCCCGGCATTTTGTTGTAATGTAAAAGACGACAAATCGTTAATGGATGGTTTATAATCCAAGTCTTTTACAAGACAAGAATACAAAAAAAATTATTTCTAACACGTATTTTTAGAAAAAATGCACGAAAACATGTTAAAACTACATATAGGTCTGAGAATTATGAATAGTACTGCAGATATTCAGTTAAATATTTGTAGAGCGAATTGAATTAGAATTTTTGTTCTACTTCGCATATATAAAGTGTATTATTAGAAAGGAAAAAAAACCTTCATTCACCGTAACTAAATATATGTTTGCCATTCAATGTTTGCCATATATATTAATTAATATTCAATGTGTATTGTAACAAAAAAAACATTCTTAAAACAAACATCAAAACAGTCATTACATAAATACATGTGCCGACAGTGGTATTTTGATTTGGCAGGGATTATGTTTCAAATTCAATTTCTAACTTAATCCTTCCAGGTATATACTTGTATTACCATTATTTATTTTTTCCGTAGAAAAGCGAAAATCAAATGTAGAAATGATGTAAAAAATGTTTAAACTTCTTGGAAATACTAAGTGACTCTTTGACTTCGGCATGTTCGGTGAAGTGAGATTTCCACACCTCCATTGTGTCGAATTATTTTGATTGACAGGACAAGCAAGTGCTCTTCGAGTAAACCGTGTGAACTTGATGAAGGAAAATAAAGCCGATGCTTACTGTCAAATGGATTTGTTAATCTTAAAAAAAAATTGATTACTTGGACTGCCTAGAATATTAGAAAAAAATGATATGAATTTTTATTCGATGCAACAGATATCTGGAATAAGGGGCTTACATTTTTTTCTCTCTCTCTCTCTCTCTCTCTCTCTCTCTCTCTCTCTCTCTTTTTGCTTTTACATTTGTCCTGTTAAATAAAAACTATGAGAACATGTATATTATTATTTAGTTCTGAAAATCTAATCTGTTACAAATAATTTGAATGCCTCTTTCTATTATCTTGTCCGAGTATAATCACGGTCGGGAAATGTCTTCAGATATACATTTACATGTAAAACTTTGCTAAAAAAAATAATCATAGAAAATAAAGATAATAAATAAATACATATTATTGCATTAAAATTTTAAATATGAGTGTATTTATGCAATTCGTCAACAGACCTTTGTAAATTAATAAAAAATTGCTATTTTACACGGAATGGCCATGGCATCAAAATATATATAGTATATAATAGTTTTTACAACAGTTATACAATGTAATAAATTCATTCTATAAGTAGTAGTTTTCTCTTCTGAAGTCCACATTATTTTATTAGTTAAAAGAATAAGCAGATTTATTTTATTAGTAAATTAAATTCATCTTTTATACTACACGTGTTCGGTAACAATTACACATGTTTTACGGCAATAAAAATCGTGTTATTAAAATATTGATTTAAAACAGCATACATATGTGCAGAAAAAATTGTTTTAATTATTTATTCACTTATTTATTTATTGTTTTTTTTTATATTTTAAACATTTAAAAAAATACAAAAAGAATAGTTTAAATGCAAGGAAAAAATCTGAGGCATTCCAAACAAATCGTTCATCTTGCGTTCACTGTTCGTTCACCAGTCACCGTTTGCACTCCGTTCGCGTTCTGCATTCACTCACTGTTCTCCGTTCACACATCGTTCACCAAGTTGCGTTCAGCGTTCACACATCGTTCACTCACCGTTCGCTCTGCGTTCGTTCACCTTTTGCTCACCGTTCAGGTGGGAAAGTAGAACATTTCAGAGACTGTATTTACCAGAAAAAATACACATATACATGTATTATTATTTCAAATAATTATATTTATAAATAATATAATGCTTTGAACAATTACATACAGGTATATTCTTCATACATACAGAAACTTGATTTGTCGTAATCCTTTGAATTCTAATTTTTTTTTCTTCAAAAGATTTCAGTTCCTTATTGGTTCCATTTATCTTTTTTTTGTAGATCTACAAAAGAGATTAATAGCTAAAGATAAACAAAATAAACACACAAGTTACATTACAAGTAAGTAATGAGAGAAAAAATGTATAAAATTTCATTTTACATTTTTTTTCTGTCCTAAAGAAACTCTCTGTTGAAAAAAAAAATCATGGTTTACTTTTTATTTTCTTTGATTGTCAAGGAAATGTTTCTATTTTTTTATTTTCTTGTCTCCATTTCAAATTTGAAATTTTATGTTCCCTGGATTGTTCATTGTTACATGAATATATTATTGTTAAAAGAGTTTGATGTTTTCATTCTTCCTCTAGAAAAGTGAATTAAAATCAATCAGTAGCAAAGCCAAGAATGTAGAAAGAAATGCTGATATTTTCTAGAAGTTATAACCAAGAGGGGTGATTTTTATAGATTGACATAAATTGATTATTTAAGTGTTAGTCCATAATGCCCTATTTGAGACAATTGCAAAATTTTTCTCCAACTTCAGAGCCATGGTTTGACATGTACTTGAAGTCCAGATCACCCATTGTATTGAATTACAATCCCTTCATGTCCTTCCAAGATGACCCACGGCCAGAATATCAGAACCAGGTATATCTAATACAAGCTTACTAAATTCCCAGTCAGTCAGAATTCTGAATTTGATTTTTCTACGAAAAAAAAAAAAATTTATTTTTAAAATTTGAAAAATAAAAGAAATAACTTACAACAAATAAAATACTCCAGATTCTTTTTAATTTCTATCAAGAAGTATACCATGATATAATTTTTGCAATAAGAATTTTTTGGGCAGAAAATTTTTGCTTGTCATTATTTCATGCCTTCAAATTATTACTAAATGATCTAATTACTTTGTTCTATCTCAAAATTGAGTTTGATTCTTTATACATTTGAAGCTATAGACATTTCTTGTCATTAACTTTCATTATCTGTCATTTTCATATATGCCTTTTCTCTTGAAGCACTTTTGACTCTGCAGTAAATTTTGATTAGAGTACAGTACAGTGTTAGTACAAACTGTATTCATTCAAAGGAAATGAGACATGTTCAAATTCAGGATGCGTTTTGACAGCATGATCAGGTGCAAGACACACTAGTAGAATTTTTAAAATGAACAGACTAATGAACTTTACCTTGTTGTATCCCATGATCTTTGAAAATTTCAGCTCATTCGCTCAACAAATATGATTGTATCATCACTAAAATTCATGAAGACATTGAGGGCTAATATCCTGGAGCCCGATATCTATCATCTGTTTCCAGCAAAGTCAGACAACATGAGGTTCAGGAAAATCATGAGGTATTGGGGTTGATTATATAATTTAATTATAACTACACGCTTTTGTTTAACATTGATACCTACTAAAAGTGTTTGCCTCTGAAATTATTCTCCTTTTTACCCATGTAAGTAATGAAGAAAGTAACTTTAGTTTTTTTTTCCCCTAATTTACTATTGAATCATCATTGTTTGTCAGTGACCATTGTTTTTTTATTTTTGGGTAAACCCTTATTCACAAATCTACATTCCCAGTCATTTTGTCGGAATATTTTTTCATTGAATCATCTAAATATTTGATATACGAGCTACAATATACCCATAAAATTACATTTCCACAAACGTGCCCTTGAATTTCGACCCTAATAAATTAAAATGATTCAACTACAATGTGTGTATTTTCTAGATTAAAAAATGCTTAGATGTTGTCCATCTGGTACTGAATTTGGTAATTTAAAGAAACGTAAATTCTTACATGGAACTCTGGAAAAAAGATTGGGGGGATTAAAATTAAAAGATATAAATATTTTCAGTCAACCTCCTAATTTACTTCTTAGAGGGTAAAGAGAATCCCAAAAATTGCTTATCAGCATGATATCCAAAAATATGAACGTAATGATGCCACTGGGTAAAGGGAGTTAAAACCGGTAATTTTTTTCAATAATGTCAAACATTGGTCTAACATGTGAATGACCTAACCTATAAAAATTTCAAAACTCATTGCCCATCTTCAGGACATCTTCAATCGTATTCCAAAGGCACCCCAAATTTGCCCCAGGAAACCAGTGCATCACCTATCATATACAAAATATGATAGGATTTCTCTTGATGGAAATTTTGGAACAAAGTTTTGGTATAAGTAATGGTTTTGTAGAAAAATTCATTTTCATCCAATTATCCCAAACTAGGGAAAATAAAAATAAAATAAAAATTTCATAATTTCATTGTACCAAATTATATTTCAAAAGATGGTTGGTTTCCAAATAAAATATAAAATAATTTCTAGAAAAAAAAGTCATCACCACAAAAAGCAAGTTTGTAAATATCAAAATTGAATTCTATATGGATTCCAGAACTTCAGAAAATCCTTACAAACAAAGAAGCATAGTGGGTTCCAGTGAATGTTCTCTTAAGCCTCTTTTTCACACCTGACTAAAATATATACTGTGCAATGATATATTTGAGAGGATGTAAAAATACAGATTTGGAAACTTAAAAAATCTAAGGAACTAAGGATCACAAAATTTTATCTTGATCAATAACATAAAAAACATGACTTTTTAAATCTATATATACAACCATTCCCCACAATAAATGAAAGTTAGACTAGTCTTTTTGACATCATTTTCAGCATGCTGCTATCTCAATATAAACAGCAGACCTAGATTTGTTTTATATGAAGAGAATTTATTTAAATTCTTAAACATGAAAAAAAAAAAACAATTTCTTTTTCCTTTTAAACTCAAACTCATCATTAAAATATACACATTTTATAAATATTTCAAGTACATATTAAAAATTATAAATTTATTTTTATTTCCCATGTCACAACGATATAAATCCCAGTGAGCTTGGTATAAAAGGTACCCAAAGGGAAAAGAGTTTTACACATTTATTTCATATTTGAATGTTTTACTAAAAAAAACGTTAACGGTAACCTTATGACTTTAATTAACTTTTCAATAGTCAGCTTCCCTAATTTATGCAGCAATATACCTTTATCATCTGCATGCAGGGTTGATATCTCTCAGTTGATTCAAAACGCAAGACCATGCCCTAGGTATGAGCAATGCTACAATGAGATAAGTTATTGAAAAACAAGTTGCAAAAACAAGAATATCAACAGTCTCATGTAAAGTCATTTCGTAAGTTCTATAGTGAAATATTTCTATACATGTATTTCAAAATGACCAGTATTCAAGCTCAAAAGTCCACTTGACAATATAAAATTGCAACAGTGCATATATAATGACCTAACAATTAGTATGAAAAACATCAGTCAGCATTTTACTAAAGGATAACCGATCCTCAGCCAGGAAGGATAACTCCAAAAATTAATGTTATTAGCATGACATGAAATTTGAAGTGATTCGTGGTGTCTTTCAATGATAGCAAAAGCCTTCTACACTATGTATTATAGAATACATGCTGGAAATAGAAAACAAAAATACCAAATAAGTATAAAAATCATGACATTTTCTCTGAATGCCTGGATACCTATCATTTTTTAACCTAAAATATATTTGTTGATCAATTTGCAATTAGAAAATGCATTGGTGATATTCCAATTCACATTTTATTCAAAAATATTAAAATTTTACAATTTTCCCTATATAATATGATTAATCTTTAAAGGAATACTGTGGATAAATTTACATAACTTTGTGTATTCAGAGTTACTTTTATGAGTATATTTTTGATTACTTGACAGCGAATTTATTTTATAAACCTGAGGATCGGACTACCTTAATGATGAATTGTATTTGTTGACAGGGTCATTGTATCGACCATAGAACCACAAATGATGACTTTAAACAAGACTATTGATATTCTTGTTTCAGCATTTTTGTCAATAATTTGTCTTATTTTAGATATTGTTCATTGGTAGAGTATGCTCTTGCGTATCTAATAAATGAGAAATACAAAACCCATATGCACGTTGTAATGAAGCTACATTGCTGCATAAGTATCAGAGAAGCTGACGATTGAAAAGTTAGTCATCACATTTATCATACAGCTGAGTAGTTAGATTACCATTAACGATACAATGATCTTGTCAGCGAATACGGTACAACCTATCTTTAATTCAAATGCTGACTGACGTTTTTTATACTAATTGTTAGTCCATTATTTACATACTGAATTGTCAACGGATTTTCCTCCGTTATTTGTCGATCCTGACAAGGAGCATATGGCGAATGTTACCGATGTGCGGGGATGACCATTTCTCCACTAAACCTTTTCCCCTTTCTAAAGTTTTAAAAAGGGCCATATTTGCTCTGCTCCTGCATGGTTTGTTATGGAATGGAATTTTTTTGGAACCATTTTTTTTTATTTATATCATTTTTCTGACTACCAATCCCCCCCCCCCGAAGATGAATTAAAAAATATGAAACACTACTGCACATCGTCAACACATCATCGGTGAACTTCTACAATGATTTTTACTACCATGTAAAATGTAATAGGATTTCTTATAAAACTGTTTTTGTAGGGGTCATATCCCCATCTACAAACTAATCACTTTGATTAAATTAGTAAGGGAAGGAAATATAGAAGATATTCTGGATTTTTTTCTTTTTGTCGAAAACTGGTTTTTCGATTCTCTTTCAACCTATTTGGGTGACAATTCTAGAATCTTATTGAAATTATACATCATTTTAATATATTCTAAAATAAAATTGATTTCCATCCGTGTAAACATTTTGAATTATTCATTTAATTTGGATTGAAATTAGAACGTTGTTGCTTTTATACTATAGATTTTTTTGCACAAATTATGTAACAGGTTATGTTTAAAGAAAAGATTTGCTTTCAAAGATCAGTTTGTACGCACAATCTTTGAAATGTATTCTTATTACCTGAGATTCTGCATTTTATTCTTCAAACAGAATGATTCCGTCTTCTTTTGCCTTCTATGGAGCATATCTCTACAAAGCTTTTCCTTTAGACATGAGCCAGTATAAAAATTTATTCAATTCAACGAGAATTCCAAGGTAAGTAACATTTCGTCTTTATCATACAGTTAAGTATAGCAAATATACTAGTATATGAAAAAGTTAGATGCTCTGTTATAATCCTAAACCATTTTCAAATAAAAAAACGTTTTTACTTTGAAATGTTGGTGTTTAATATTTGATGAAAACAATCTTCTTTCCTAGAATTTTAATAATTCTTCTCTGTTTACATATTTTGTATTTTGTTAAATTTGTTGGTAATGCAATAATTATTATGGTCTTCAAAATTTACCAGCTAGATTTAGACAATGATGTATTTTAATTAAGGTTTTCTTTTAAACAGACGTGGAAAAGATGAATTAGTTGTGAACAAAGAAGCAAAACATATGCTGGTAATGAGAAATGGACATTTCTATGTGTTTGACGTCCTGGATAGTGATGGTGAGAAAATAAAGATTACCATATTCATAGCAATTAGAGTTGGATCCCTGATGACTTTTCATTATGTTTAATTAAGACTGAAGTTGAAACACACTACTAGATGAAGACAACACTATTTTTAACATTGCAACAAAAACAAAACAAACAAATAATTGGGTACAAACTATTAATTAAGAATAAATCATTGACAAAAATTTTGCAGGAATTAGAAGATTTACTTGTAACTTAATTTTCTTTTGCTCTTTTTTTTTAAGATTCATATATTTTCTCTTCAGAATATTTTTTTTAACTTATGTAGGAATGGTGCTCAATCTTTATCATTTTTTTTCCCAAAAAAAAA